TTAGTCCATTATGCCACGTTTTGCGGTGTGGGAGGAAAATACTATATACATATTCATTATATTAATAAACTGTATATTTAATTTGATATTTTAATAGCATCTTAATACATTAAGCCATGTTAAGTGTTTATGTTTTTCTACAGGAGAAAAACGCTTAACAAGAGACTTTGTGCATTGCGTTCATATTCTGATGTTCTGTGGCCACGGATTTGCGGGTCTTGTCTTTTTCTTGCAGGACCCTAGAGTGAGGGTTTGAGCTTTTATTTTGAAACCGCGAGATAATGATGTATTCTCCTGTGTTTGCGTGGATTTATAAATGATTTACCTTACAAATCTGATGAAATGGCGCACGTTGCGTTCCCAGATGAACGTTATAATAAACCCAAACTCACAACAACATGCAGAGATGGAGTTTGTGCCGCTCCACACATGTAAATGATAACTGTTCCTGTGGAGCAGCATTTACTGTGAACGGAGCCGCTGTGACACGCGTGTACATAACCTACACGCCTATAACTGCATCACATATAATTGTTTAATTAAATCGTAGCGTTTGTGAATTCACAGTTATGCTTAATTATGATTTTTAAACGGGCTTAATATGCGTTTGTGAATTCACAGTTATGCTTAATTATTTTTTTTAAACGGGCTTAATATATCATGCAGCCTTGGAAAACAGTCTAATAATGTTTTATGGATTCTCGTCCGTGAAATGCGCCACTGCCGGCATTTTGCCGGTTAGTCGACGCAGGCAATATGAAGTCGATTATTTTTTTTTTTATCAAATAGTCGAATAGAATCGACGAATCGCGACAGTCCTAATTTTATTATCTGTGTAACACTATATTTTACAAAATATCAGATAAAGATAAAAAGTATAATTTAGTAATGTACAAGAAGAATTTCTCATATATTATAGAAAATACTACAGACACTACTTTGACCCATCAGCACTCACCTTATTTACACAGATTCACAAAATCCACCGCCTTTCTATGAAGCAGCTGCACGTTAATCATGGCTTAGCTTTAATAAAGGTTCCTATGAAACACTTTGATATTCCGTATAGAAGTGATTCTGACTGTTTAAATGGAGAAACATCAACTCCACTCCTCATAGACACACAGCTGGACTCTGCTTCTGATCTCTTCTGTTTAACTGAACTATAACACAACAAATGTAATCCTTTATGATTATAATCCTTTTCTTTTAAGGTCTTTAAGTATTTTTGATCAAAAACACTTAATGAGAAGGCTTTTTATATATATATATATATAAATACCTTAATAATACCCTTATGGTGTATTATAGATACAGGCTTCATAAAAAGTGTTACCTAATATTTATATAAAAATGTACCTGAGATCAGTCTGTCTCTCTCCACTCTTAGACTGTACTGGAGGATTCATAGACCAATCACTCCTCATAGACACACAGCTGGACTCTGCTTCTGATCTCTTCTGATGAACTGAACTATAACAGAACAGATTTAATCCTTTATGATGATAATCATTTTCTTTTAAGGTCTTTGAGTATTTTTCATCAAAAACACTTAATGAGGAGGCTATTTGATTTAGATTTTTTTTTTAATTAAAATCTTCATTTTAACTTAAAAACCTCCAGACACACAAAACACGTTGGAGACTCCCATCTCCCTTCATTCAATGTGATTTAATACAGTGTTTATTCAAAGTACCTGCATCCTGGAGAACAATCTTCATCTGTGGATGTTTGTGTGTCATCCATGATGAAGCAGAATCTGATCTCCAGCACTGACTCTGAATAGAAATGACAAACAAACTCAGTAATTCAGCTGAACGGATCCTGAGAGAAACAGATCATGAGACGCGGCGTTCACTCAGATACACAATGTTAGTCGTGTGTTAACAAATGATCAAATACACCACAGACAACACCAAACACCAATCAAACCACGTTCATCTGCTTGAAAAACAAAACATTAAAATATATAAAAAACATACGTCCTTTAGAGGAGATATGAATGCGGAAGTCACTGTAAAGCACCTGAGCATCAGCACTCACCTTATTTACACAGATTCACAAAATCCACCGCCTTTCTATGAAGCAGCTGCACGTTAATCATGGCTTAGCTTTAATAAAGGTTCCTATGAAACACTTTGATATTCCGTATAGAAGTGATTCTGACTGTTTAAATGGAGAAACATCAACTCTGAACATTTACTTTCACTTTTTATTTGAGACGCAAAAAACAATGATGGCGTCACTGCTCACCTGTAGAGCTTAAGGGAGCGTCTTTAAACTCCACACACAGCGGGAAAACGCTTGTGATGTCAAATCATTCGTTCAAATAACGTATACGTTTTAGCATACAAAATCATTTTTAAAAAATCTAGCATTTGTACAAAAAGGAGCAGAGTATAAATACGTTAACTGCTTCACAACAACATCCCATGAACTTTGAATTATCATAAAGAATTCCCTCTTATCTCTTATCCATGAAGATAAAACAGTTCGTAAAACCCCCAAATCATAAGGTTAAACAAGAAAAATGCATAAGCAAGAAAAATAAAAAATGTAAAGCATAAAAACCTGACAATAATATATTATTAAATAATATATCATAAATGGCTAATGATTTTATATTATTGTATGATTGTATGATTAAGTGATATGTAAATGAATAAAAACAAGGAAATAAAACGCAACACAAATATATGATTGCTCTCTTGAAGCAACACACACAGTTTGCATTTAAGAATCCTTAGATCCCTCACTTATAATTGGCAAGAATATAATTGACAAATAAATAAATAAGTAAATAAATAAATTCTCTAGCAAAGATATTAGACAAGTATTTATTGGGGGCGGTAAGTTATTCCAGGGGAGAATTTTTATTGGAATTCAATATTAATGGGACAGTATCAAAAGCTCACAGAGATGAATGATCAAACAACAGGAGTCTTTTACCCAAACTTAAGGAATCAGTCTACAACACACTTAACACAGACAGACAGAACAAATAAACTCAGGAAACACAGGACTATAAATACTAAACCAAACAAGGACTAATGGGCTAATTCATTAAAAACAGGTGAACCGAGTAACACAGACGAGAGAAAACTAGGTCAAAAGATGGCAAAAAAACAAAAACTCAAGGAAAACACATTACAAAAGCTGTGATTTATTGCTCTTACAAAAAAAAATCTATCCAACTAATACACTAAGTTTATGTACACTGAAAACTATATATTATTGACAATTTTCTAAAATGCATCACTTTGAATGGCAAATTCTTTATTTGTAAATAATAAAGTTTGCTGCGCAGACAGCAGTCACAAAAATCTGTGAGGCAAAACCACAAATGCTGCCGAAGTCAGGACAGGCAGTTTCAGATTGATTACATCTTTCTCAGCGTCCAGTGTTTCTTTGCGCTAAATCACAATCTGTTCCACTTGAAAGGTCTAAACCAAACTTTTAACCTTAAATTGTCATTTTTCAATGGACTGTTTAGCTACAGCTATCCGTCTTCTCTAGAAGAGCTCTTGATTGTCTCATCCAGTTATTTAAATGGTCTTCTAGAGGCCAGGAGCTGGAATGGAACAATATTCTTTGGCTTTGCTTCATGGCTCCAGCGCTTCTCATTTATTTTTATGCGGAGCGGGAAAGAGCGTTGGCACCTTTCCACCGTGAAGGTAGTCCAGAGGAGCTCGACTCCTGAAGCTGTGCGATGAATCAGTGCATTACAGTTCAATAAAAGTGCACAATTGCTTCTTTCTGCTCCACTTGGCTGTGATAGCACTTGGAGAGCCGGTGACGGGGGGTAAGCCAGCGCCCCTTCAATAAAACCAAGTCATTTTGTTTGCTCGAGACAATATAGTGAAATAATGAAATTACTTACTTCCAATTACAGCACAAGAGCTTTATTATAACCACAGGCATGTGTCCACATCCGTCCTTTAAAAGAGTTCCAGAGGAGAAACTGTAAATGTCTCGACTCCTTTACTCACACTTTAGTCCAGAAATTACAAACAGGGTTCTGTGCAGATTTTCAACAGCATGTTGAGTCGACAAATGACTTCGGAGTCATTCATAGCCTAAGAAATCTTACTTATCTTCTTTGTTTATTTTTTTTTCCCATTGTCACATATTTTATATGGTTATGTTTCATGTTTATTGTTATGTCTGCCTTTTGTTAACTGTCATTGTTTATTTGCTGAATGTTTGTAAATGTGTATGGTTTCAGTAAATAAACAAAAAATGTGAGAACTTATCAGTGATGAAAAAGATGCACAAACTGTTTAAAGATCAAACAAATAAGGTACACTATCAGTGAACTCATGGAATTATTGACGAGTCTGTAAAGAATTCCACCGGCTTAACCATGAAAAGTTAAGTTCAGGTGCTGCCTTTAATTTTTAAGTATAATCAAATTGGTTGAGGTCATTTTTTTAAATTTAAATTTAAGTTAAATTTCCTTAAATTGACTTTAAAAATCAAGTTGAATCTTGTATAGGCTAACTTAAAAAATTAAGCTGAAATTGGTTAAATTAATTTGATGAGATAAAATAATGGAAAAACATATGTTGCTATGACTTATTAATTACCATTTTTACAGTGTAAAATGCCAAAATGACGCCGTTTTGTGGCGCATAACCCAGCAAACTCTAGGATGCAGCACTGATTTGTTAATATGACTGATAACATTTATGTTCATTATATATGCTATTTGGTGTTAAGAAAGCACTGTTCATGGCTCGTGATGCTGTAGTGCTTCTGTACCACACACAATATTTGTATTGTAGCCTACTGTAAAACTGAAACATTGGTGAACATGTTTGGAGACGACGTTTTGAGGGAAACCCAATCTGAATAATTTGACGTCACAATAAGACATTGTAGGATTTCTATCTAACAGACACAGATATGCCATTGAATCAACTCATCACGAGGTCTAAACTAATCATCACTATCACGTGACGTCAATATTCTGAGTCAGTTCCTGTCAGCGCCTCGTCGTTATAATATTCTGAGTCAGTTCCTGTTAGCGCCTTGTCGTTATCTACTTAGAAGAGGGATAATAACTAACTCAATCAGGAGAACGACAATAGATCTTTTCTTACAACACGGGCCGAGGAGAAGCACCTCGTGGGCGCAATGTATGGAACTATTATATCCAACAGGAAAAGGACGAGTAAATTAACTGACGCCCTCAGGCCTGCAAACACTGGATCTATATGTGACTATCGGTAACGCTTTAGATTACTACCCGCAAAGAACTATGTAAGTATACTGAATTTACGGTGTACGTTTCTGTAATTATAGTGTACCTATAAAGAACATACGTGTAGGTATAAGGGAACAATGTGTTACGTTTGGGTAATAAGTGGGCAACTACCAGATATGCAACCTGCAAAGAACTGCGTAAGTAAAATGAATTTACAGTGTAACTTTTTTGTAATTATAGTGTACCTATTCAGTACCTCCATGTAGGTATAAGGGAATAATATGCGAAGTTTGGAGAATAAAGGGGTAACAACCTGTAAAATTACAAATCATTTATACTGTAAGTATTTTGAAACTAAGAGGTGCTTATTCTAATATTACGTGGTATGTATGGCCTAAACAACAATATTATGTTTGGGAATTATTTAGACAGACGATATATACTTTTTATAATTTTATATTGGTATTTTATTATAGGCATATAGGTATTTTTTAACCATGGGGTACACATTCTATTATAAAAGGACGGACATGATGGAGATTACTGAACAACAAAACTGCACATCTAGAGAAATGAGTTAATGAGTTTCTGCTATGATTTATAATTCACGAGTCTACTTACCCTATGAAAGCTTATTCGTCGATTTCAGAAACTTCTCAACACCACTATCACCAAATAACGTTGCATGATATACCATCAAGGTTCAACGCAGCTTAAAACAAGTTTACCTCTTTCCAGCTGTTCGCAGAAAAAATACATGATACAACATTTGTATTTCAGAGGATGTATACTGTGGTGTTTTTATAGCAAAAAAAAAATGTAGAGGGTTTAATTTGGCCATCGAACAATTAAATTAAAACTAGAGCAATATTTTTCTCTGTAATTACTGTGCAAATATACACTTGTTCTGTGTTTAAGTCCAACTTGTTCCTCCCTTGTTCCACGTAGTTACAGGGTAAATACAACATTTGCGGGCTGTAAATTAAAGTGGTGCTTTATTCCCCCATTGTTCCATGTAGCTACAGGGTAAATACAATATTTGCGGGATGTACATTAAAGTGGTGCTTTGTTCCCCCCTTGTTCCATGTAGTTGCAGGGTAAATACAACATTTGCGGGCTGTAAATTAAAGTGGTGCTTTGTTCCCCCCTTGTTCCATGTAGTTACAGGGTAAATACAACATTTGCGGGCTGTAAATTAAAGTGGTGCTTTGTTCCCCCCTTGTCCCATGTAGTTACAGGGTAAATACAACATTTGCGGGCTGTAAATTAAAGTGGTGCTTTATTCCCCCCTTGTTCCATGCCAACATTTGCAGGCTGTAAATTAAAGTGGTGCTTTGTTCCCCCATTGTTCCATGTAGTTACAGGGTAAATACAACATTTGCGGGCTGTAAAATAAAGTGGTGCTTTGTTCCCCCCTTGTTCCACGTAGTTACAGGGTAAATACAACATTTGCGGCTGTAAATTAAAGTGGTGCTTGTTCCCCCCTTGTTCCACGTAGTTACAAGGTAAATACAACATTTGCGGCTGTAAATTAAAGTGGTGCTTGTTCCCCCCTTGTTCCACGTAGTTACAAGGTAAATACAACATTTGCGGCTGTAAATTAAAGTGGTGCTTGTTCCCCCCTTGTTCCACGTAGTTACAGGGTAAATACAACATTTGCGGGCTGTAAATTAAAGTGGTGCTTTGTTCCCCCCTTGTTCCACGTAGTTACAGGGTAAATACAACATTTGCGGGCTGTAAATTAAAGTGGTGCTTTCTTCCCCCCTTGTTCCACGTAGTTACAGGGTAAATACAACATTTGCGGGCTGTAAAATAAAGTGGTGCTTTGTTCCCCCCTTGTTCCACGTAGTTACAGGGTAAATACAACATTTGCGGGCTGTAAAATAAAGTGGTGCTTTGTTCCCCCCTTGTTCCACGTAGTTACAGGGTAAATACAACATTTGCGGGC